AAGGTTCCAGGGTATGAAGGGCGCCCTGTCCAAGATCTGAACGAGTTGATAAGGAGCGGCCCTCACAGTAAGCTTGATGCTGGTTCTTCTCTAGGGGGTATTTCTGAGGCTACTACGCCCTCTCAAACAAAGGGGAAGAAGAGGAAGCGGGCTGCCCCAACCGTTCCTCGTGCACCTGCTTGTCTGGCTCCGAAGCGTAAGGCGCTCAAGCGTTGAGTGGTTCGGGAGTCAAATGATGGCTCTTCGTCGGCTGCTTCTTCGGAGTCATATGTGTCTCCGGCTATTTCTGCATCACCTTCTGTTCTTGAGGATTCATCTTCCTCCTCTAACTCTTCAGAGACTCAGGCTGGTGCCTCAGATCCTACTGCTCCGATTGAAATTGCTTCGGACCAGGAAGTAACGTCTGTAGTTGAAGGGTGGGCCCAATCCCAATGAAGATGAACGGGGTTGACGAAACCGACCTTGATGAGGTGGTTGCTAAAGCTCAGGAGGTTGTTATGCCTACTGAGGAAAGGGAAGCCTCGGTGATCATAAAAGAGGTTGGTGCCTCAGGGACTAAAGAGGGGCCACCCGAGTAGCAGGAAGTTATTGCCCCAGGTGATGTAGCTGTAGGGGATGCAGAAGCAGGACATCCTCAGGGGTCAGACTTTGAGGGCTTAGAGGCGGTACCCCTTGCTGTAGAGGAGGCAAGCCCTATGGGAGAGCCTGTAGCTGAAGTGGCTGCCATGGAGGACAAGGGCGAGGAAGAAGAGGGGGAAGGTGTCGAACCAACTGAGGCAGAGATGGCGGTTCAAGAAGAGGGGGACAAGGGAGAAGACACCGTTGCAAGAGAGGAGACCACTATGATACACCATGAGATGGTAGATCCAGATGGGGAGGTCACCCTTGCTCTGGCTAAGGCTACGTAGCCTACATGGGGTGAAGCTGCAGCACTTGATAGTGTCGAGCTGGAAGAGGCCATGGGGGAAGATTTGAGCAGAAAGGTTGTTGCTGAGGTACCAGAGCAGCCTGAGGTTGCTCCTGAATCTAGGGAGCCTGAGGCGTTAGCTGCAGCTGGGGATTCTTCTACTATAGTTATACCTGCTGCGCTGCCTAGACCCATCCTTAGTGGAATACCCAGCATTATCATGGAGATGCTTAGGGTAGGCTTTCAAAAGTTGAAGGAGCTACCCTTGTCGAGCTTGGGGACCCGCTCGCACAACTGAAGCAACTTGCCTTGGGAGGCACACCCGAGGCCATCCCTTACTTTGATAGCATTGGGAATGAGTTGGAGGGATGAAGGGTAAGAGCTCTACAGGGGGAAGAGACCGTAGCACGATTAGGGGGCTCCCTCAGAGTCCATGGAAGCCTCGTTGGCACGCAATCGTGAACTGATGGAGGCTCAGCTACAAGAGAGAGGGGCTGCTATCTCTCATAGGTTCGCCCTTGCGGAGAATACGTAGCACGCAATATCAGGGTAATGACCCTGAAGGCAAAAATAGCCAAGTGGGAGCGAGAACTTGAAAAGCTGGAGAAGGAGACAGTGGTCTGGGAAACTGAGGATATGGAGCTGGACCAGAAACTGCTTGACCTCGAATACTCCTTAAGCAAAATGATGTCCTAGGTGGAGCATGAGGCCGGGTTGGTGGACGAACTGAGGGGAGACCTTCAGCGGGCGACCACATCGATTGAAGAGTGTATGAGAAAGGTCAATGAGATCATTGACCGATTTTGACAGGGCCTTCTTTCTTTTCCTTTTCATTTCTTCCAATGTAAAGAGAAGAACACTTCTAATGCCCTCTTGATTTATGAATGAAATAGTTCTTTTCTTTTTCTGTGTGAGGCAAGTCTTTACTCTTTCTTCTCTTTTTTCATTTCTTCCGCCCTTTCACCGAAAAAGGATAGCCCACTCCTTGCTTCGTCTTTTGACAGCTTGCTGTGGCTCCAATGACCTCGAACGGGGGAGCAGTTGGTTCCTCACCCCTTAGCGTTTGATTGGACAGGGGCTCACAATCATGGTTCTCATGATTTGATGAGCCTGTTCGCTACAAATACTCTAATCTGGTGGAGCCTTGGCTTCAATTCGAGGTGCATTGCTTTTGAGCTCGTCATAAGTCTTAGTCTCAGGGACAAACTCCTTCAAGTGCTTTGAAGGGACGCGCATAACCTCCAACTGATTCTGGAGGTTGCAAACCTCACTTCTCAGTTCTGCCATGGAGTCTTGTTCCTGAGAGCCAGAAGGTTGACTAGTATCCACCTGTACTTCTTCGAGAGCCTTTGAGAAGTGTAAGACTTCCTTTTAGCTGCTAGTGATCTCCTTGCTCAAGGAGGACAGGATTTGGAGTACATTCCTTGGTGGTTGGCATGCTAGTTCTGCTTCTAGAAGAGCAATGGGGACATGCAGGACATTTTGCTCGCTTGCCGTATAGGTGACCCTCAGTGCTGGAAGGTCTACCTCTACGGCTTCCTCAGTCTCAAGAACAGTATCTTAAAATTTTGGAGAGATAAACTATATCAAATTTTAGATAAAGAAAGTACATGAAATGTTTAGAGAGAGAAACTATTTCAACAAATTTTAGAGAGAAACTATCTCAAAATTTTTATTTTAGAGAGAAAATATCTCAAAATTTTAAACTTTAGAGAGAGAGAGAGTATATCAATTTCTAGAGAGACACTTGATCAAATTTTCAAGAGAGAAACTATTTCAAAATTTTAGAGAGAGATACTATCTCAAACTTGAAGTTTTAGAGAGACAAATCATCTTCAAATTTAAGAAAGTAACTATATCAAATTTTAGAGAGAGAGTACATAAAATTTTTTCTAAAAAGAAACTATTACAAAATTTTTAGAGAGAAATTATCTCAAATTTTAGCTTTTAGAAAAAGAAAGTATCTTAAAATTTAAGAGAACCACTATATCATATTTTAGAGAGTGAAATTACATAAAAATGTTTAGAGAGAGAAACTAGCTCAAAATTATTGAAGAGGGGAACTATCTCAAGTTTTAAATTTGAGAGAGAGAGTATCTTAAAATTTTAGAAAGAGAAATAACTATTAAATTTTAGAGAGAGTAAAATACCTAAAAATTTTAGAGAAATAAATTATCTCAAAATTTTTAGATTGACAATTTAAAATTTTATATTTTGGATAGAAAGTATATTAAATTTTAGAGAGAGAAACCATATCAATTTTTAGAGAAAGAAACTCTCCAATTTTGTATAGCTACACTATCCCAAATTTTGACTTTTAGAGAGAGAAAGTATACAAAAATTTTAGATAGAAAAATTGTATCAAGTTTTGTTACCAAACAATGGACATGGAAGTGATTGCAAGGAGTCCATGAATTTTGTATAGTTTATCCAATCAAGAGATTTGATGAATCCATGACAAAAATCCTTGATATTGAAAATCCATAAATTTCTTTGGATTTTAAATATTTAAGATTCCTAATTTTCTCTTATCCAAATGGGCCCTAAGGTTATTTGTTTCGTGGGTGCATATACCCGGATAAAAATTCCATCACATCCAATCTTTAATTCGAAGGAAGGTAAATATAATTAGAGTAATGATCCTATAGGACTTTCTCCCACGCATGCGTGTAGGACTCTAAAGGGCCACCATTAAAGTTGGCACAGATTTCTAAAAAAGTTATCATGTGAGTATGGAAAAATTATCACGTGGGTGTGGAACTTAAATTTTTTAAAAATCCGTACCAACTATAATGGTGATTTTTTGGAGGTCTTGTACACATGGGTGGAAGAGGGTTCTATAGGATCATTTCTCATACAATTATAGACACCCGATCTTCCCTTGGCCACAATTCAATAAATGCATTATAGACACTCTATCTTCCCTTGGCTACAATTCAATAAATGCAGCACCACCATTTTTATTATTTTTTTATTTTTAGATAATTTAGTAGGGGATATCGAGCCTCTACCCATTTTTCAAATTTTTCAAATTAGTTCATGGGTGTATATACCGGGATAGAAATTGCGAGCCTCTGCCCATTTTTCAAATTAGTTGGTAATCTATATTTTAAAGTAGTTAGTAGTTTTTGTGGTTATCAATAGGAGTGGTACCTACAACAACTGAGGTATGGGGTGCAGGACATTATAGACACGCTATCTTCCCTCAGCTACAATACAATAAATGTAGGACCATCTTTTTTATTACTATTTTATTTTTAGGTAATTTAGTGGGGATGAAGAGCCTTTACCCATTTTTCAAATTAGTTCATGGGTGCATATACCCATAGGGCCACCTTTTTAATTATTATTTTATTTATAGATAATTTAGAGGAAATAAGTTCATGGGTGCATATACCCATAGGGCCACCTTTTTAATTATTATTTTATTTATAGATAATTTAGTGGAAATAAGTTCATGGGTGCATATACCCATAGGGCACCTTTTTAATTATTATTTTATTTATAGATAATTTAGTGGAAATAACGAGCCTCTACCATTTTTCAAATTAGTTAGTAATCTATTTTTTAAAGTAGTTAGTAGTTTTTGTGGCTGTCAATAGAAATGGTACCTACACCGAGTAACAGAGGTATTGGGGTGATCTACCACGTCGATTTCAACCCATTTCCTAACCACAAGCATTGCCCATTAAAACGATCCCCACTCTACACTCTTTTGCCTGCAAATCTAGCAAGGGGAAAGTTGGCTGACCTAGCAAGAAAACACAAACCATCATCGCACTTGTGTGTTCCTGGCGGCCATCCCTCAGCCATGTCTCGAAACAAATAGGTGGGGGCAAATTGATTCTCCATAGATCAGTGTCTGATTATTGGATCAGTAATTTGGATCAAGCCTGAATCAGTTCCTATCAATGTTTTAAAAAATATTAAAAAATAAATAAAATAAAAAAATTAAAGCATAGCGTGGCGATTGAGAGGGGACCTAAAAAAAATTTGATGAGCTTAAGAATAAATAAATAAATTTATTAGAACAGGTTTTGTGAGAACCAATCCGAGACACATACAGTCTCAAAACCGAATCAGTCCATACCAATTTCCATCCCAATCGGGGATTTGAATCATAAATGTTTTATTACACTAATAAAGCTAAAGTAACCAAACCAAAAAACTCAGGGAATATTATCATAATAGGGACAACATTACACTAACAAATGGAGGAGGCAACGAAAAACGTAGAGAATATCTTAATAAAGGACGGAGCTCTTCATTCTGTGAGAGCATGGTCCTTTAGGTTGAGTGAAGGCAAGCGAGCCTCTATCACCTCCTCCTGACGACCGAGAGAGATGACCTCCTCCACAAAAGCCTTGAGGTTTTTATCAGAGGACCCTCCAGTCTCCCAAGCATCTCTAGCTGCCTCCTTCAATTTTATGGCATTGTCTCGAATCCTCAACGCACTAGGCCCCTCCATTATCTCATCCATGCACCTGCAAACCTCCTCTCTTCGAACAAAGCCTTCGCTGCCGCGTTTGAGCCGAACCCCGACGCCGTAGATGTCGACCAAGAACTTCGCGTTCGTGACTTGGTCGCCCCAGTGTGGAAGTGCGATGACGGGGGTGCCTGCTGCGATGGTCTCGAGTGTTGAGTTCCAGCCGCAGTGAGTCACGAAGCAAGCGACGGATGGGTGTGTCAGCACCTCCACCTGCGGGCACCATTTCACCAATTTTCCTCGTCCGACGATGACCTTCAAGAATCCGTCAGGCAGCTGGAACTCTGACGTGCTGTCAACAGGCTTTGCTGCCCAGAGGAAGGGCCGGCCACTGCTCGAGAGCCCCCATGCCAACTCCTCGATTTGCTTTGTCGACAGGGTCACGACGCTCCCAAAGGCAACGTAGATAACTGACCCTTGGGGCTGAGTGCTGAGCCAATCAAGGCAGTCGTGTGCAGGTTTCCATAGATCACCCCGCACTTCGGTGTCTGTCGACTGGCCGAGCAGCTCCGAGGGCACGAGTGGGCCGATGGGCCTGATCGGGGCAAGCTCCTCCATCAACTGAATGGCTTCAGTCTCGAGTGCATAGAACGAGTTTCCCAGCACCCACTTGACCTTCTTGATCTTCTTGATGTGGCTCAATATTACATCCGCAAGACAACGATGGGCAGCAGAGGGCAAAAGGAAGCTGGGGAGCTCGCTTGCTTGGAGCACGGGGAGCCCCGGGAGGCTAATGTCTATGTCTGGTTTCTCAGGCGTCGGAAACTCACTAAGCCTGTAGACGCTTCGGTAATAGAGGGCATAGATGGCGCAGGACTGCACCCAAAGCAATGCGCACGGGATGCTGAAGCCCTCAGCCACATCCACTACCCATGGGACAAAGGGATTGCTCACAACACAATGCACGCGCCGCCCACGGGCCTCGAGGTCGCTGATTAGGGCGGCAAGCCCGTTGGGGCCAGCGCGGTTCAGGTGGGCCATGAACCAGTCGAGGTCTCGGCGGTCTTCATCGACTGCAAGGCCATCAAAGAATGTCAGGAATTCCACGTGCGCATCAGTGCCACTAGTGGTGGTGGTGCCGGCGTCGTGCAACTGTTTGCCGATGGCCTCATTGGTGGCAAAGCTCACACGGAGGCGGTTGTCGGAGGCGAGACGTCGGGCTAAGCGGATGGCTGGCTTGACATGGCCTTGTGCTGGGAAGGTGACCAATAGAATATGGGCCCTCTCCTTTATAGCACCCATCGTGGCTCCCCTGGTGCTACGTCGATGCTTTAGGCTTGGTGTGAGAGTAGGTGAGTGTGTAGTGAGAGACGGGCATGGTTTTGGGGGTTTGTGTGGTGTTCTCTTATAGTGAGGAAAGTAGCTGAGACGGATGGTAAGATTTCCTCCACGTCCATGCAACGAATTGTGTGGGGACCGAGGCGGGATTAAAGGACAGCAAACGCCCCCCTGGAGGGCATATTCCCAATGTATCATCGTCTTTTTCTTTTTTTTTTAAAAAAAAACAATGGGGATTTGAGCCTTACCCTTTTCGGTGAGAACACCCTGATGCTAATACATCGGAACCGGTTTCTATGCGCAAGCGTGCGTGTGGAGAACTGCAGCCCTATTAAAAACTCTATTTTTGATATTGATTTTTGGGTTTAATTTTTAAGGATATGTAATCTCTAACATGGAGATTATAAATATGAAAAAATAAATAATTTTTAAAAATAAAAAATAATAATTTTAATAAAAAAATATTTGGACTATTACTTTTATTGTCTTTAGATGGAACACCCAACTAACCTCCATTTTAAGGTGGACGCTTTACACTTTCCACACCGTATATGTAGAAATATTGTTCAACCCGTATGAAACAATTTTCCTCGTATTTATCTTATAAAGCATGACTTGGTTTTAACATACGTGGTATCTGATGGTCCATGTGATTTAGTGGAAATAGCCTAACACAATTGATTGGGTTTTGAAAAAGGTGTGACTGTAAACGGTCTGATAGCCGGCAATCTCGATAAATGGTGGTAATGGTTTTTGGAGCGTCTGAATTATGGTGGCTGCCTGGTCCAGGCTCTCTAAAAGGGATGGAAATAAATCTTAGATATTTAAAATCTTAAAGAAATTTATGAATTTTCAAAATCCAGGATTTTTGTTATAAATTTTTTAAATTTTTGGTTTAGATAAACTATAAAAAATTTATGGATTCTTTGCAATCATTTTCATGTCCTGTTTTGTAAAAAAACTTGATACAATTTTTCTCTCTAAAATTTTATATGCTTTCCCTCTCTAATACTCAAAATTTAGGACAATGTATCTATATAAATTTTGAGATAGTTTCTTTATCTAAAATTTGATATGGTTTTTCTTTCTAAAATTTAATATATTTTCTATCCAAAATTTAAAATTTGAAATTGTCTATCAAAAGTTTTTTAGATAATTTCACTATCTAAAATTTTAGATGTTTTACTCTCTTTAAAATTTAATATAATTTCTCTTTTTAAAATTTTAAGATACTCTCTCTCTAAAACTTAAAACTTGAGATAGTGCTCCTCTTCAATAATTTTGAGATAGTTTCTCTCTCTAAACATTTTTAAATAGTTTCACTCTCTAAAATATGATATAGTTGTTTTTTCAAATTTTAAGATACTCTCTTCTTAAAAGTTAAAATTTGAGACAATTCTCATTAAAAAACTTTATGTACTTTCTCTCTCTAAAATTTGATATAATTACTCTTTTAAATTTTAAGATGTTTTCTCTCTCTAAAACTTCAAGGTTGAGATAGTTTCTCTATCTAAAATATTGAAATAGTTTCTCTCTTTAAAATTTGATATCGTGTCTCTCTAAAATTTGATATACTTTCTCTCTCTAAAGTTTAAAATTTGAGATATTTTCTCTCTAAAATTTAATTTTGAGATAGTTTCTCTCTAATTTTTTTTGAGATAGTTTCTCGCTCTAAAAATTTCATGTACTTTCTCTATTTAAAATTTGATATAGTTTATCTTTCCAAAATTTTAAAATCCTTTCTCTCTCTAAAATATAAATTTTGCGACATTTTTTCTCCCCAAAAATTTTGAGATGGTTTCTATGTCTAAAATTTTTTAGGTACTTTTTCTTTCTAGAATTTGATATGATTTTTATCTTTAAAATTTTAATATATTTTCTCTCTCTAAAATTCCAAATTCGATAGAGATTCTATCTAAAACTCAAAATTCGATATAGTTTCATTCTCTAAAACACGAAATATTTATCTCTCTAAATTTTTTAGGCAGTTTCTCTTTCTGACATTTACAATAATTTATCTCTAAAAGTTTAAGAATATTTTCTCTCTACAATTTTAAAAGTACCTTCTTTCTCTAAAACTTAAAGATTTGATATAGTTTCTCTCTCTAAAAATTAAAATATGAGATTGTTCTCTCTCTAAAAGTTTTGAAATAGTTTCTCTCTCTAAAAAAGTACTCTCTCTAAAATATAATAATATCCCTCTCTAAACTTTGAGATAGTTTATCTCTCTAAAAAAATTTGGTACTTTCTCTCTCTAAAAATTAAAATTTGAGATAGTTTCTATCTCTAAAAATTTTGAAATAGTTTCTCTATTTTAAAAATTTGGTTACTTTCTCTCGCTATGAGTGAAATCCATGTACCCAAAGAGGCCTAAGGAAATAAATGGTGGTAATGGTTTTTTGAGCATATAAATTAAGGAAATAAATGGTGGTAATGGTTTTTTGAGCATATAAATTATGGTATGATTGAAACCCGAGGACAATATCACTCTTCCTAATCCAGAAAAAGTGGTAAAACGAAGGGAAATTTGCTTGGAGACCGGAAATAAGTCTTGGTATTAAAGAAGGGTATTAAAGAAGGGAAATGTTTCCATGGAAACCCATATATATAGCATATGGGACCTCCTGATCTCAGCTGTTGGATCAGATCTAAGTAGATGGTTGATATTGGCTCGAGTTATAATGTTACAAGCTAGCGTTTAGATCATGATCGGATGGTTCAGAGATTTTTCACAAAACCGGCCGGTTAGAACCGGAACCGGCTAGTTAGATTGGAACCGACATGGTACCGAGTCTAGTTAAGGCTGGTTTGGTGGTAGTAATGGATATTCCGGTCTCTCCAAAAAAAATCAGTACCAAAACCGGCCGGTTTATGGTCGAACCGGCGGTTTCATTCAAAACCAATTGGTTTTTGCTAACAGGTCTGGTTTACCAATATAACACCCGAAATAACATAAAAAACGATATAATCTCAAATAACAGCCGTTATTTGACACAACGGGCGTTACTTGTAACATAACCCGTGAATTGAATTTTGCAACATTTTTTTATTCTAATTTTTGATTTTTTTTGTTTTTGTCGATCAATTATTGCACTTATACACCTAAAATTTTCTATAAATGACTGTTTATTGAATCAAAATTGAAAAAAAACGATTTTTTGGTAGATTGAAAATGGCGAATTTATGAAATTTCCGCCATTTTATCAATCTGAGCTTCAATACCCCATGAATATGCATGAAAATGGAGAGCTTTGATGCACTATTGAAGGCTTAAACTTTTCCCTATTTCAATTTGTCAAAAAAGATGAATATTTGAGGTCGATTTTGGTTGAAAGTGGGCAACAGCGAAGAACTGTATTCAATGAAAAAAAAATGATTTTTGATCCATGTATTGATCGTTTGTTTTCAAATTGATTAGTGAAGTTTGATTATCAAGGCTTCATCAATCAAATACATTCGGTATTTTGATCTATCATTGAGTAAATTTATTTATATGAATTTTTTTTGCCTGCTTTTTTGGTTTGAAAATTTCGTGAAGTGAAATATCCACCATTTTTTGATTAGTGAAGTTTGATCATCAAGGCTTCATCAATCAAATACATTAGGTATTTTGATCTATCATTGAGTAAATTTATTTATATGAATTTTTTTTTGCCAGCTTTTTTGGTTTGAAAATTTCGTGAAGTGAAATATCCACCATTTTTTGAAGAACAATATTAATAGTGAATGGATCTTCATGAAATTTTAGGCATTTGAATCGTAATTGAAGTATCTATCATATCCACATGTCAATTTGTTTTTAAAATGAAAGATTTAGAGTTGATTTTGACTCAAAAGTTTTTGGGTTCTTTGGCTCGATTTTAACATATTTTTTATAAAAATATGTTATTTGTGATGAATATGAGAAAAAAAATATGTTCTTTCTTTTTAATTTTATATAGTTTTGGTGACCTTGTTGGATAATTTTTAATGTTATATATTGTTTTTACAAAAATGTGTTTTTGTGATGAATATGAGAAAAAAAATATTTATTTCTTTTTAATGTTTTATATTTTTGGTGAGCTTGTTGGATTGTTTTTAATGTTATATATTTTTTATAAAAATATTATTTTTTGNGATGAATATGAAGTAAAAAA